GCTCGGGTTAGTTGTTCTCTCTCCGAACGAAATTCGACTTTTTATCTAGCCATTTTTAGCAGAACTTTTTTATACCATCTAAAAAGTATTGTTGTTTTGAGCTAAGATTTCACCTGTGAACATTTTTCGTAAAATAATGGTGTTTAAAGATTGCTAATTTGGCCTATTTGGGGCAATTAACGCACTCAATGAAAAATCTCATTTAAAACTTTTTAAAAAAAATTTTCCTTTTTTTGTTTTGATAATTTCAATTGTTTTTACAGCAAACACTGTTTCATAGACTTAAACAGGCAGTCGAAACATTGAGGTCTTAGCCCTGAAACGAGCATTCTTGTTAGTATTGTTGGCTCTTTTTTCGTTCGTATTTCCTCTTATAAGTCTAAGGCCAAGCTTAGGGATTATAGAAACTGTTGTAACTTATATACTACTTTTTACTTGCAGGTTTGGTGGCAGATGTAATAGTGTACAACAAATTCCCAATTTATCAAGTCAGGAATGAGGGATATCTGAAGAATAGGCCAAGCAGTCTCCTCGTTTTCGGCACAGAGAGACCGCCTGACCTGGAACAAGTGCTGTTTAGAAGAGACCCGGACACAGGACTAGGTTAGACGTATGCATTTAACAGATCTAGGTTAGACGAGTTCAATTAACCGACAGACCGTTCTGTTCTCTAGGTAGACAATTCTTTCTAAAGATTTTATTTAAAACCTAAAACTCATAATTCTATCTATAGTCTTTCTGTATACATCGTTGCTACAATTTCTGATTGAAACGATGAAATGTTGCCTAATAGCATCAAAGATTTTGAAAAGAAAAATTGGACAGCCTGTAGTTAAATAAAAAAAGTCTTGCTTTTTGAAACTCCAAAATGAATTAACCGGTAATCGATTAAACAATGCATTTTTTTCCGTTGAAAAAAAACTATTCGAAAAAATGAAAGATTTTGTTTTCATATTTAATCACAATAAAAAGGCGAAAAATTTGATTAAGAATCAAACAAACAGCTGTTTTTACTACGAAATGCAGATGATAAGGAAGAAATTGGTCTACAAAGAGATGGTAATATACCAATTACTACTACTAATAAATAACTTTAATCTACATGCTCTGATTTGATTTCTTAATTATTCATAACATGAAAAAAAAACGTTACGTTTGGGGGGTAAAGGAAGTACTTATACAATAATTTTTTACAAAATATCTTTGACGACTTATTTGAGCATTTCGCATATCCTGCAGGTGTAGAAAGTCTTTTAGTTGCTGCAGGAAAATATGGTATGACTCAAAGTGGATATAATTTTTCGCGGTAGGTGTGATGAATTTTTCGAGAAAAAGTAAAATAAAAGTCTAAAACGCCATTTTTCAGAACTTTTTTGTAGGTTTCGAGCAAAATTTTGCGGATTATCAAAAAATTATCATAACTTTTGTCAACTATTTTTTTAGATTAACCAAAGTTATTTAACAAGCTCTCCGAAGACTCTAAAACAACCTTACTTAATCGGAAAAACTTTGCCAAAAACACCTGTTTCATACCCAGGCACTTCTCTACCGGACCAGAGTGTGGTGCGGATGGTGGCTCCCTTCTCCACGTCGAGCGAGTACTCCAAAGTGGCCCTGTTCCTCCCGGTGGCTGACGGTCAGTGCACCAACACTGGCTCATACACTGTCACCCTCAGACAGCAGAAGGTGGAGGTCACTGCACTCAAAATGCCAGACCAAGGTCAACACTGCGTTTATTATACTTCATTGCCACGTTGTTGGCAATATCGGCTACCTTGAGCAACTTAAACGGTCACAAAACGGTTGTTATAGGGCAGTTAAATTTATTTGATTTGGTTTTTACGCGATTTTGCGGTTGAAATGAAAAATGGATGTTTTAAGTTAATAAACTTAGTCAGAAGTAAAAAGATTCATTGACCTAAAAGTATATTGCTAACAATTTGCATTAAATATAAAAATAATGACAAACAGACTATAGTTAACGCCAATTTGATGGTAATACGCGTGATCTTGAGCCCCTCAATCGGACGAAAACTTTGAGACGGACGGATTTTTTGGCTCTCTTAGACTCCGTTACATCATTTCTACCTGTTGGAATGAGTAAGTTTTGGTTTTGATCCTCAAACAGAGCAGTCTGAGGCATTATAAATTTCGTTTAGGTTCGATTACCAACGGTTAAGTTATACCTTAAAACCTTCGAAGCTTAAACCAGGTTGTGTAAAAGTTAGATGAAAATTCAATAAGAAAAATTGATAAAAAATCATTTGATAAAAAATCATTGAATAATTTTGTTTCAAATTAATTTGTTTCATAAAAAATCATTGAACAATAAAATCATTGCATAAAGTTGTTTCAAATTACTTTTTGAATGTTTGGCGCTAGAATTGTTCTAATTGCTATTCACAAATCTCCGAAAAGATTGCTAGACAAACCAGTGCAATATAATTAAGTTGTTTCTTTACGAAATTGTCTCAACATTGAGCATAAATTTTTAATAAAAAAAGGTTTCAGGTTTCAGTTGTACAAAGACCAATAAATACGAAAAAAAAACGTTAAAAGCAAAGCCTATAACAAGGGTGAGGCGAACTGCCCATAAAGATAAAAAAAGATCAAAAATTGCATCAATCTTTATTCTTACTGTGAATTTAAGGGTATGAAAACTGATTTCAGAACCAACTAAAACAAAAAACTCTGGAATCGAAAATAGGTGATAATTAACCGTTTAACATGGGAAAACTCTGCAATTCCGATCACAAATTTTTCCCAATATTTTAACATCTTGCCGCTTAGGCTCAATCATATTCAACCCGTTCATGTTCTAAGCTATTTTTCCCCTGTGTACCTGGTACTGCACCGCTTTTTTGCTTTTTGTTTGTTTGTTTTTTACCTCAATTATCTGAGGCAGAGTTCCATTTTTCTTATCCTCTCTCTGTACGACCCTTTATTCGAGAGCTAAAAAACTCTTTTGTCTGTTTCAAAAGACTCGAAGCATCGTGGCTGCCCACTCTTAGGTTGTTAGAGAGAGGCGGGAGCGGTCTTTGATAATTTGGGAGCTTTTTTCTTCAAAAAGTACAGAACTGAACCGCTTTCCCCAAATGCATTAAAAGGTATTGATATTTAGTATTCTGTTGGGAAAAAATAGTGTGAATGGAAAATGATGTAAAAAGAGCGGGTTAATTTAATAAGACCAAGTTAATTGAGGAGAAAAGAGACTGCACGCAGTCGGGCAGAGGTATACACTTCAAGACAGATAAGATGTTGCTCTGAATCAAAATTTATAGCACCACTTAGAGCTGATTGCATCAGATACGAAAAATAAAGTTAATGTTCCTTGCTTAATTTTACGCAAACGCCGTTTTTTATCGAAGACGTCAACGGAAAATTTTATTTTAAAAATCTGCTGTTTTTTTTCTGAGCTCGACAATCTCAGTGAAAAAAAAACACGCAATAAAATTTATGTGGATGTTTTCTATTTAAAAGCAGTTATAATTCATCATAACTACGTAATGCCGGCTCTAATTTTCCGAAAGCATTGTGGCAAAAATAAAAAAAGGGTTCTCAATGCCTTTTCAGTTGCATCTAGCTTCAATTTGCTTTCAAAAAAAATTGCAACTAGCTAACAAATGTAACGAATGATTCATTTATTTTTTTTTTGCAAAAAGTCTGATATGCAAAAAATTTTCCCACTTTCTATTGTAAGAAAAATTGGTTTGTTTTCACCTATGAAGATTTATTTCATCCAATTAGCTTGCCTCAACTCAATTTGAAACGGTTTTTGAACCGGAATAATTTGCCACTCGCGCTACGCGTTCTTAGAAATTTTATGTAAAATAAATATCTCAAACTATCCAAACGTTTTTATTTCAAAAACTCATTACTTTACAGAAGGTCGCATATTAACTTTTTTTATTATTTTGATCTCAATATGCCAATTTTTTTTTGCGAAAATTTTTTCTGGAGAAAATCTGAGCCCAAATATTTCATTGACTTTGGCAAAAATTGAAAGAGCAATAAAGACGGGAAACAAAAGTTCTCCCATCAAGGAGAAGCACTGAATTTCCCGTCTGAATTTTGATGTCTATGGAGTAATTTTCGTTTTGAATAAGAATAAATTAAAAAAACACAAAACAATTTTTTTTGAGTTTTTCTTAGTCCATCAACCCACACGCTTTTTTCAAAATACAAAGTGATATATTTTGCATAACGACGCAGAGTAAAAATTAGACCAAATAACAGGCCTCAGCTCAATTTAGAAATGTTTTTAAGCCGATTCAAATCGCCGCTTAGGCGTCAATAGCAGGAAATATACTGCGCGCTAATTTTCCCCAATTTGACCAAAATGTTAATCTTTAAACCCCCTTTGCTTTGCACAAAATAATAAATGATGTTAACCCATGTTACGAAGTTACTCCTAGTTACTCTTACGCTTTCTTTTCATATATAAAAATTGTTTTTCACTACGGATGAAAAAAAAACCAAATCTGTAAAAATATTTACCCTCAAAAACATATAAATGCGCAAAATTGAACTTTCATGTATTACGTTTGTGATTTTATTGTTCCGACTTTCGTAACGAAAGTAACGGAATATTTGTGATCGGGGTGGGTTTTTTCTTCAGACAAATTTCGACTTTTTAACTAGCCATTTTTGACGGAATTCGAAATCTATATCATTCGAAAGCTATTGTTGTCCTGAATTTAAATTTGAAAAATATTTTTTATCTGTGATTATTTTTTGTAAAGTTATGGGGCCTTAAAGATTGCCATTTTAGCCGATTTGGGACAACTAATCCGTGATATACTTCGCGCTATTAACGCGTAAGCGAGATTTAATCCGTCTTAGAAATCGTTTCAAATTGGTTCAAGGAAGCTTATATGCCATAATTGATTTGTTAATAGAAGCAAAATCTATCACTATGTACTCATTATGACGTGTGTGGGGATGTTTTCACAAAAATACCAATTTTTTTTTAAACATTTTAATTTTATTTGATTACGTTTAATTTTTTCATTGCATTGTTGCTCCGTAGACCTTAAAAGGCCCTCGGAACATTCAGGGCTTCGCCCTGATACGAGCAGTCTTGTTATGTTTGTGTAGTTTTTTCTTTGAGACAAATTTAAATTTTTTAACAAGGTGCTTTTGAATGGAAGTTGTATATCCTTTGAAAAGTAATGAAGTCCTGGGGACAGACTGAAAACATTTTTCACTCATCATTTGTTTTCGAAATTTATGGCGTTTGAAATATGCCAAATTGGTCAATTTGGTATAATTAATTTCAATACACTTCGAATCGAGCTATTAACGCATATGACGGCTAAGAAATTAATCCAATTTAAATTGAGGCTAACTATTTTGCTGTATTTTTACGTAACTAGTTCCCAAAGGCGTCAGTTTGTACTTTACATGGGTGTGAAGGAAAGGTTTTATAAAAATCTGAAAGCAAAGTCAAAATTGTTTCATTTTTTTTTGTAAATGTCATCAATTTGTTGAAAAATATATTAAATAGTTTTTATAAGTAAAATAATTAGATTAACTTTCATAGCCTTTAAGGGGCACTCTGAAAAATCAGGGCTACACCCTTATACGAGCAGTCCTGTTTTTTTATTAAATGACTAGCAAGATACTGCAATCAGAGTTTGCCTGTTATTCATGCACTTCTTTAAACAGGGCGGTTCCCGCTTAAATAATTTCAACTTGCATTGCTGTTTGTTAAATGTCATTTGTGTGATGCAGCCCCCCTGAAGCCGGTGGAGTTCACTCGGAGGGTGTTTGTGGGGGAGAGTGTGAGTGTGGAGATCCGAGTAGACACCCAGTACTACAACTACACAGCCCCCATCTACTGGAGACACAACGGTACTATTATATAACACACTACAATAACAATGGTATAAGTCAGCTAAAAATACCGAGCAGTTATGCAATAAATAACATTTTATGTGAACGTGATAGTTAGAAAAATCAAGCAAACCTTAGAACAACATTTAAGATACCCAACAACCACTCAAAAGGAAGTATGTTTAAGTGCGTCTTAAGAATAACTGCTTGAAAAGCGCTTGGCCCTTGCTTGGGAACATCCCTTAAACCGCCGCCCAAATCGTATCAAGGTTTTTTAGGCCGGGCATGTATTTTGTTTGGCCGCTTAAGCCGCCACCAGTTTTATTTATTCAACTACGGTCAACATTTTTTTGTTCACGGTCAAACACGATTTTTTAGTCAAACACTCCTAAGAACGCCTTTTTGGCCTATTTTTTTTTAAAACAGGGCTAAAACAGGGTCGTTTTAGTGATTTGGGAGAGCTCGGAATAATAATTTGGTCTATCTATAAAAAAAAGATCGACAAAATGTTCGAAAATTTTTTGAAATTCGCATCCCCAATCGAGAAAATCATGGATCCATCTCTCCTGATAACAAATACATAAACATACAGAAAAAAGCACTAGCCCACTGAGTTTCGAGACAAACTAGGAACGAGCGACAGCTAAAATTTTGGAGTTAAAATTAGTCGATAAAATTTTTAATTGTCCTGTTTTTCCACGTCTGTTTGCAGTACTCTCTAGAAACCATTCCAAAATGGTTGTGGCGCTATTTTGTCCATTTAACATTTTGGATCTACTTAACAATTGCCCCCTTTTTAAGAAAGGGGGGGGGGCAATTGTTAAGTAGATTAAAATAACGCATTTCCAACCAATCAGAATGCAGCAAAATTATAATTCTCCATAGAAAGCTCAGTGCTAAGTTACTGCTTTTATTAATAGGGGTGGCAATTCTTAAGTAGATACCAAAGGGAGGGCGATTGTTAAGTAGATCTAACATTTTTATTGCACTTTCCAACAACTAAAATTTCAGTTTCCGGCTTTTAAAAACAATTTTTTGGTAGGCGTGATCATTAAATCGGGTTTTGCTATGACCACCCTCGAAGAATTGTCTTTTTTCCACGCAAAGTTAGAAATCCGAAAATATTTCGAATTGAATTATGTTTGCGTTCGTCTCCCGCTACTTCCACGAAAACCAGAAACGTCTCAACGGAAGGCGACCCAGTTATTCACGATAACCAGTAGCAGTTCAACGGAGTATTCCTGTTTTTTTTAACGTACAATTTGATATAATATCTGGAAGCATTAGGAGTTTGATAGAAATAAATTCTCTGAATCTTTCATGTTTGTTAGTTTATGAAATTTTGACTGCAAATCAATATGATGATAACTGTATAACTGTAATACTTTCATGCCGAAGCTGCCAACGTTTTTTTTCTGAAAATTACAAGCATCGTTTTCTTATCAAATTTTCGATAAGCTTTTTTTTTGTTTTTGATTTGTACTTTGCTTTTTTCTAAATTGTACGCTTCATTGATTTGACAATCATAGCACTTCTCGGCAAGTTCAATCAGCCACAACAGAGAAGTTATCGCCTGAGTTGTTTTACCTGTCGCAATACTATTTAATCTCATTTGGCTTGTTTGACAGCAAAGTAACAAATATCAAAATGTCGCTCTGTTTCCATCTTTTGGGAGTGTATCAAATAGCATACAGTCCAGATAACTGTGAGGCGACAATTCGTAACAGGCAAAAATTCGCAACAGGCGACAATTCGTAACAGGCGACAATTCGTAACAAGCGACAATTCGTTACAGTAGATTAAGCGGGGAACACTGATTCACTCGCAGTATTCCTCTCGTGCCGAATGTAAGTGCAGCGCAGTGAAGCGGAGCCTGTAAGAATTGTCGCTTGTTACGAATTTTCACCCAACCCCAGATAACAGTATAAACAGCAGGTAGTGGCGGAACATTTTAAAGACATTTTCTGGCAAATTTAAATTGAAGACTTTCTGTAAAAAGTTTTAAAAATGAGAACTTGGAAAAAATTTGCTATAAAAGTTGGACAGATTTTTTTTGAGTGAACATCGAATTGCATTTCTGGGATACTATGTTTCTTTTCTGCTTATTAGAGAGTAGGGTTAGTTTTTGAAGCCTCAATCAGTGCCGTTTTACAACCCATGCCTCTTGTAAGAGTCAATGGTAGACCAAAAGGGGCAGTTTATAGAAATAAATCACAAAATTTAATTTTTGACGTCTCCTTGAGGAGTATCAAATGTTGGTCCCTTGGGATTTTTCCTCCCGTGTTTTTATGTCACTATTTTTCTTGATTCAATCATGTTTACCTATTTTGTGAAGTAGAGAGAGCCTTGAAGTTTTCGCATTCCATATATGGTCGTAAAGTATTTATAATATTGGTTAACAAGAACAAATTTTGCAATATTTCGTACTAACTCTATTTTTTTTTCGATTTTAGTTAATCAAAACTACACCATATTGGCCAAAAAGGACATGTTTTTTTCAAGTTTTTTGCACATTAATGCCGATATGCGTAGCTTTTAATTGATTTTCCAAGTTTTTATCCACTTTGTATTTCTTGGTCTGGGATTCCAAAATAATTGACCCGATAATCTGGCCATATAAACCGAACTCAATTTAGAGCGCATATTGGAGGGAAAAAACATCAAAGACTTGAAAGGCCGGCTAAAAAAGGAGGCTGCGATCTCTATAATGAAAAAACTGGCAGTAAACCGATTATAAATTATTAAACGCCGTGTGCTGGTCAGACGATTTGTCTAAAATAAGACATTTTTGACAAACTTTAAGAGACCAATGGATACATGATAAATTTTAGTCTTCAAGAAAAAAAACATTTATAAACAAATGAGACGCAAGATTAAACCCTGTTGCTGAAAAAAATATCATATGATTTTTGAAAAGTCTTGAAGAATGGCTAGAATATCCGTTGTGTAGTTTTTGCTGCGCAATTTCACATAGCTCAAAGTAACTCGCAGGAGATTCAGGAGTAGTATCACAACACTACGCTTCAATCGTATGTCAAATGTCAAAAAAATGTATTTTTCTCGCAGAGATTAGGACAAATCGTCTGGTCTTGTTGTAGTTGATGCAATTAAATTATAATACTACACTTGACCCCTACAAGTTTCTCTGAGATACATAAAATTGCGCAATAATAGCTACATTACGCCATAGCAAATTCCACTTTTCAAGACTGGTCAAAACATAGTGTAGCCCAGCATCATGTGCAATTGTTTTGTCTAATCGACTTCATTTTTTCTAAATTGCGCGTTCACTAGTTATGTGAAGCACAAAGTGATGATTTTTGTAGAATTAATTTTTGCCCAATTTTTTCCCAAAAGCTCAATGCGGATCTACTTAACAATCGCCCCCGTATGGCATCTACTGTCAAATTGCCCACTCTACAAACAAGAGCGGATTTAGCGGGGGTAATTTTGTAAACTTTTTGTTCTGCAACGCTGAGGTCTCTCAACTCGAACGAAACGAAAATTGACTGCTGAAAAAAGTTATAAAGTTATTCAATATCGGGCTAATAATTTGCTTCTAATTGGATGCCGAGCTTCTGGGTTAAATGCTTTACTGTCTCTCGTAGTTGTATTTCAAGTTCATTGTTTGAATCAGACCCATCTCCTAATCATTCTATGTAAAATCCGTAGGAAACTTACCGCTTTTAATTAGTTTTTCATCAACGGTGTACTCTTTATCCCTTAATGGACCTCAAAGTTTATATGAAAACTTACATCTTAAGGTTTTCGTTTGTTTGCAAAGCCGGAGTTGGAGTAGCTGAAATTGATTCTACATTACATCAAAAGTAGCGATTTAAAATTTTTTGTGATTTGTGAAATTGTCCAAGAGTTTTCAGTTAGACCACTTTTAAAAAAAATTGTAAGAAATACTTAAATAAGGATGATATAAAGATGATTTTGTGGTACAATTATTGCATTTGAATTTATGTGCTTTTATCATTCTCGGTAGTTTTCAACGAACAACGAAACTAATCCAAATGGAATATTTGAAAAATGACACAAAGTTTATATAAATTTTGGTCGATGTATGAGAAAACCAAGTATAAAAATTTGGCGCGACTTGATGTAGTTCTATTTGGTTATGTAGCAAAAAAGACAGGTTATAAAGTAGACATATCATAAAGTAGACAAAACTTTTTTTAAGCAATCCGCATCCAATTAAATACAAGGATAGCAGGTTACTGTGCCAGTAGCACAGAATATTCTACAAAAAAAGTGTTTTTCTGCGTGGTGTGATAAAAAGATCTGACACAAAACTATAATTTAGGCATATTTGGCAGTAATAGTTATTTGGCAAATTGGACAAAAATGTTTAGACAAATGACTAGCAAAACAAAAAATCAAACAAAAACTTAAAACGTATTCAAATTTTTTTTTCAAGTTTTTTAATGACGCTTCTCAAAAAACTCTAAAGCTTAATTTCACTTGCTTAAAAGTTGCTTTCGGGGTCTATAATAAGCATAAATAGGCTGTTGTATTGCTTTTTTTCATTGCTCAAAATTAAAATTAAAATAAAAAATTTTAACAGTTTTTCTCGGTACTGAACAATTTTTTTTTGAAATTTTCTTAATGTCGGTTGAAACGCGCTAAAAGGGCTTCAATTTGATATATCGTTCGACCCATTCTGATAATTATTTGTAGTACTTGATTTTGAGGGGAAAAAACTAAAATTGTTAAGAGCTTAGTAGACCATCCCAAACGTTAATGTAATCAAAATAGACACACGGATAAGAACTTTTTTGAGATTTGTCTGTCTTGTTTTGAAAATAGTGTTATTGCATTTGTTTAAAATTCTCTCACCTATGAGTTTTGTATCCGAGAAAAAAGATGTCAAAAAGCAACTTAAAGTTTTCTAAAAAGGTGTTAATGAGAAGGCCCTAGCTTTCAAAGCTCAAACATTGAAAATAAAAAAAAACTGATGGCATTTTTTGATTTTTTTTTGCGATTTCTAAATTTCTTTTTTAACTGAATATGCA